ACTCTAGAGTGGTTGTAATCTTTCAACTATCAACTGCATTTTTAATATATAGCTAGCTCGGGTTTAAGTCCTTCCATGAAACATTTGATGCAGCACTCAGTAACTTGAAGGGGCATGGGAGTAACCCTTACTTGAGGCCTTAAATTACAGCACTATAAAAATACAACACACGCACACACACACAACAACAACAACAACAACAACAATAATAATATAATCTCTTATAGCTTGCAAAAAAACTATAACATCTAGTAATATAATCCCTGACACCTGCTTTATAATACTTGAACAGGTGCCTTTCATGTACTCTCAACAATGGTAATGTTGCCCACAAAAACTGTACAGACATAACAAGGATGTCTGGCTGCCTTAGAGCATCATGTATTGAGTCTGACGGCTGAAACTTACCAAAAACATGCAGGCGTACTATATTCTAGGTAGAGTAGCACAAAGTTAATACAATCATGTAGAAATGGACATTACACCAGATGGTCGTTAGATTGGCAACTAACTAGGATTACCGTGGCTAAATGGGTAACCCTAACCTAGTATTACTTCGTACTTGTATGAAGCATCTAACCACACACGAGGATGACATGCCATAACCACATCATCGCCTTCTAGCTCATATCTAGCTATTCTTTTCAAATAAACCTATTGTCAGACTGGATTGGTCCGCTGTAATCCTTCAGCTATGTCTGCGTGCTGCAAAACCTCAAGAATTATCAACACAGCTAGCTGGACACATACTGCAATCATCCAGATATAGATCATTGTTGACTGTGCAGCATATTCCTGTACCTGAAGGTCAAGAGGCACCACAAGAATCGGTGAAGCAGACACATAGATTATTGTTGACTATGCAGCATACTATAATTACCTAGAAGCCTAGAATCAACACAAGAATGAGTGAGGCACACCATGCAGCGCGTATGCTAGTCCTCTGCTAGTCCTCCGTTCATCTGCGCATGAAGTTGAGGCGATGGCATGCCTGGAGTAGAAGATGAGCAAGTACACGCTAGAGAAGGAAGCAGTAGCCAATATTATGTTTTTTGTACCGGCTACGTGGTTCAGGAAGACCATAATGCAAGCTAGAGTAAGAAGAGAAAGGAGGAGGGTTGCCATTATTTAGGATCCCCTTGATTTAAAATCAAGTGAGGATGCTAGATGGTTTGCTAGAGGTCTTCGCCTTAGGCTCACTACCTTTCCGAGGGTAGAAGATATACAGCATGCCAAGGCGGAGCATGAACAGGAATAGCACGACATGGCGCCTAAAATTCTGGCCGGGACAAGAGAGCACTCATGTGAGATGTTGTGGCCGATCTCAATAAAAAAACTGCTATGCGTACTCTTCTGACCAACCATTCTATGTGTTTGCATATTGAGATGTAACACATTTCCAGCTAGCTGTTCTTCTGGGGCATTATCAATTTACAATATCAAAATACAAAAAATAATATAACCAGTGTTCTGTATAGTTCATCCCCTTAGCTAGCAAAGGAGGCGCACCTCGACTGTCGCCTAATGCAAAAAAATTCCACTCAGATGAGATGGTGGATGAGCTAGCATGAATATAGCTCAGTTTTCTTGGTCTTATAAAGGTGGACTAAATCATTACTCCCTCCATCCCCAAATAAATCAATTCCTAGAATCTGTACCAATCAAGCTTTTTTAAATTTGACTAACTTTATCGAAAAAATAACATCATCTATGAAATAAAATGAACACCTTATGAAAATATATTTTATGCTAAATCTAATGATACTGATTTGATACTATAAATCTTACCTTTTTCTAGAAATTCGGCTAAAGTTTAAAAAGTTTGACTTAAGACAACTCTAGAAATCTATTTATTTAGGATAGAGGGAGTATGTATGTAAGCACAGCCACGTAGTAAAGGTATGGTCGAGGCCAATGTTCGTATGACTATTGCTGAATAGTTGATGTGTGCATGGGAATCAAAGTCTACCAATTAAAACAAGGAAGTCCAGTCTAGCCTGGTCTCCATAAATACCCCACCCTTGGAGCCTCCAAGACACCCCTCCCACGTTCTCTAGCACCATGCAAGTAGAGCCTAGACACATAGGTGGGGTATCCGAATCTTACAAAGCTTCCACTCCCATGCGCCCTCTCACAAATATGTTACTTTGATATCACGTAACTTTGTCTCCTATCATAAGCACTGAATCACAAGCAGTGCTAACTGCCATGTAGGAGCGGGGACGCACATTGCAATGTATTAGATGGAGGGTGGAAACTATAACACCACACTAACTCCCTATTTGATAGTTGAAATCATTCCAAAAAAATCTTGGAGAGTCAAACTTTTCCAAATTTGACTAAAATTATAGGCACACACCTAATGGTTGTACATGATAAATATTATTATTTTGTTATATAAATTTGCAAACTTGAAAAACGACTCTCCAAGATTCTTGGAATGACTTACAATTTAGGATGAAGGGAGTATTTGATAGTTGAAATCTCCTTCTCCCCCCAACATAGTTAATGGTCACCACATAAGCGTCGCCGCGCATTGCAGCGTTGTCCAAGTTTGGTCACCCTTGTCCAGAGCGAACAAAAAAAGACATTCCATGCAGCTACTTTTGCTTAGACTGTCGCGAACTACAGCAAGAGGCCTTGTGCTACGTCTGCCAAGGAAGTCATCCATCTCACCGGATGTTACAGGTTTTCAAACTTTTGCTTACCAAATAGCACGTTGCTTTTTTAATCTTTATCCACTGCAACATGTAGCTAATGCCTCATAAATCATCATACAGGTGCCTAAAGCATCATTGAATGAAGTGGTATGGGTCCAAGATATCGTAGGGTTGATCGATATAACGGGATACAACAGTATGAGCGTAATGGATTTAAGGTCCTACATCTCACCAAGCGGGGCACCTGTAGAGACTCCATGGTTAGGTTAAAGCGCCGGGGCGGCCAGCCCCATAGGTTTGAATGTATTTCATGCAAACGTGCCCTAATGGATGTGGCCCAGTTTTGCTCGGTCGGATGCAAGGTAAACGATTTATTATCTTACCTTGAGTACTGACTAAGACATCTCCCTTTGCCATCAAAACCAGCCACACTACGTCAGATATGGTTTTTAGGGGCGGCTAATAAGCATTTGTAGGAGCGGTTCGGCCAGCCGCCCCTACCATACCGTCTCTACAAATCATGCATTTGTAGGGGCGGTTCCCAGACCGCCCCTACAAATTGAGGGCCTACAAATCTAATTGTAGGGGCGGCTGAAGTTCATCTCTGAGTATCTACAACACAAGAGCATAGCATGCATAAGATTGTGTAACAAATACAAGTGATTTGCAAGTCAAAAATGTTGAAAAGGATCTTACCTCCTAGGCTTGTTCTGGCGCTGATCAAGCTCCTCATTGCCAATATCTGCGGTTCAAGTTTTTCAAACAATTAGTGAAGCAGCTTAAAATTGTAGCATGAGCTAAAACTGTTTTCAATGCATAACAAAGACACAGGTAGAACTCACCATTTCGAGGAGATTTAGACCCTCTATTAGCACTAGTTTCCCTGTAAGAATAATAGACTCAGAATCCTTTGTCAAGAGAAATCTTTGTGGTTAATGTAATAAAAACATGGTACAATCAGACAATAGAGCAAGAGGAGGAAAATGTATAAGCACTACAAACAGTTTCCTCCTAAAGTATGTGCATTGCTGAAGAACTATTCAATACAGATACAGGAGAACGTGTTTCAAGTCCTAGGCATCCCCGTCACCGTGGCAAAATCAGGAGAACTGCACTAACCTGACTGCATCCGTAAGTCAAATGATGAAACAGGGCATGTAATGTAAGAGATCCAGCACGAGGAAACAGCAGTAAAGTGCAGTTTGCTGAATGCATGGCCAAACACAAATGATGCAGCCTGCTTTATTCTCACTTGCGTACTTGATAAAAAAATATAAGAACTGAGGTAACACAAAGGGATTGTTGTATTACTGAGTCACCTGAGCAGCACATCCGGGGTTGATACTGCTGGTACTTGATAATGTCAATAAACTAATACCGTAGTGTATAACAACAATTGACTACATGTATTGATCTACTGTGAGTCTAGTTAGCATCTTGGCTGCTCCAGCCATTTTTGAGAAACGATTTCCCTGCATCTGTGAGTCTAGTTAGCATCTTGGGTGACTTAACATCAAAGTTCAGAGTTTCAGTTTCACAAAGTGCAGAGTTTCACTTCGCATGAATACTAAGAAATGACATCAATATCAAACTGGGAACAAATCTATCAGCAGAATCCATAAAGAAAATTGAATGATGCTGAAACTCTGCTGAATCAAGAGCACTGAAACTCTGCAAACTCTGCAAGTCAAAGTGGAACCGGGTAACTGAACTACAGTTGTATCAGTCTTCCAATGACTGAATATGTAGATGTTCACACCAAGCATTTGCTGAAACATACTAGCAGACAGCAGTTAACAAGCTAGAACTGTTGACATACAAATTCCCTACATAGCGAAATTCCCTGTCAATTAAATTGGCAGTGTCCCAAGCATTCCTCATATGAATTGCTTAACATTAGTTGAAAGAATTAGCTATGCACAAGCAGAACGTCAGGCTCAGCCTCACCAGATTCACTAGAACGATGGAGAGGTGCGGGATCTCTTGCCGTCGCCATGACTGATTGTCTGATCCCTATTCCCTGCTGCAGGTTTCACTTCAGATTGCGTTGGCTTCTTGCTTCTTGCGTGGAATTCGAGCTGCTGCAACCTGCCGGTCACTCGCCCCTGCCACACCACGCCGGCGCAGTGGACGCGAAGCACTAGGGTGTCGTTCTCCAGGTGCGCGTGCGCGGTGGCGTTGCTACCGCTGGCCGAGCCAGGAGCTTCGCGTGCACGGGCACCTCGGCGGTGACGGAGGGCAGCGCGGTCCTTCCTTGCGCGGCCCTCCGAGCTACGGCGAGCTCGCCGACGCGCCATCCTGCGACCGCACGATACTCCCGCCATCGTGCGTCGCTCTGCCATGCCGAGCGCGGAGATGCAGAGGGCCGCCGGAGAGAGGGTGCGACCGAGCTTCATCCGCGAGCTCCTCGGCAACCCGGCCTCCAGATCCGCGAGCTCCTGGAACCGGCGGGGAGGAGGACCACCGGTGGGCGGAGAAGGAGCGCCGGTGGGGGAGGAGGAGGAGGACCGGCGGGGAGGAGGACCACCGGCGAGGAAGGATGAGGAGTACCGGCGGGTGAGGAGGACGGGGAACGACGAGGAGGCGGTGAGAGGAACTGGAGCGCCATCGCCATGACGGGGGCGGCGGATGGATGGAAGGGAACAGATATCTTCGCGCACGTTGGATGGAAGAGTCCAGACGGAGAGAGAGAGGGCAGTAGATATTTGGGGTGGCTCGATACTGTACATAGAGTATTTGTAGGAGCCGTTCCTATAAACAACAATACCGGGAGCGGCTAGTGAGTGAGCCGCTCCTATAAATCCGACCTATTTGTAGGGGCAGCTCGTATCACCAGCCGCTTCTACTGTTTTATTTATAGGGGCGGCTGGTCTCGTGGGTCTCCAGCACTCCACTGTAGAGGCGGCTCCATTACTGGCCCCTACAAAAAATTTATCTCGTTGCTATAAATCATTTTTCACGTAGTGCCACAGCCCGTGATTGCCTAATGATTCGCTACATATAGGTAGAAGTGGAGGCACGTAGCCCTCCAGATAATACTGGATGCATGGAAGGCATCATCAAATACCGTGATCTGAATGATTTCTACCCTGCCGCTCGTGTAGCAAAGAAGCAGAAGGTACATGTCAAAGCCAGGTGTTCCCTCAATGTGGAGAACGCTGCCCTTTCTAGGTGGTCACTCAGCGCACATGATGCCACTCAATAAGGAGGCCGCGTTGCCTAAGAGTCCACGCAAAGGAAGACAGGTACGTGCACCATTCTACTAAGAAGAAGGGGCACGTAGAATAATCGAGAGGCCCAAACAATCGGATTCCATCTAGGTTTCATGTGACATTTGCCACATCTGTAATATATGTACGTATGGGACAATCTGGTCCTCGTTCTTAGTGGACACTAGGACATGTATATTGTATTTGGATCATTAATTAAGCGAGGAACCATGCTAAGCGATCGAAGGTTAAGACATTTCTTTTCGAGGGGCACATGTAGCCAATCACGAGATGGAGAATTAATTTGAACCCTCCACCACACGAGGAGCATCTGCACAAGTCCCATGCAGGTCCACCTATTTATCGCATTTTATTGCTGCCTTTGAACTATCTTCATGTGTGGGCTATAAACCATCAGCTGATGCTAGAATGGTCTATACAACTGTCAGCTAACTTGTATAGTCGACTAATTATCAATAAACAAAGTGGATGGGTACATCGGGTAACCTTTAAGGCACCAAAAATGTGAACGTTGGTCAGACCAGACTTCTGGAGCTCAGCAGTATAGATTAGTGGAATAGATAAATCCAACAGCTAGCACATAAAGTGTTTACATATGTGGTATATTTATGGATGTAGAAAATTCTATGGATGAAACTTATACATGTGTCATCAAAATATAGCATATACGATGCATTGATAGATTCCCCTCTAATTTGTAAATAACCCTCATTTAGAATGAACTAATGGAAACGAAGAAGCATGAAAATGCAAAGGACGTGTACCTAGGTGATAGGTAAAGGAAATGGACTCAAAACTGGTACGCAGTAATAACATGCATGACTGAGCAGAAGGATACTGTTGACTGCTACTTTTATCAAGATGCTCGACACAAAGAAGCGAGAAGAGCATCGATTCTGGCAACACATGTGGTGACCTACCTTCTGCATGCTTGCTGCTACCTGCTAGATAGCTTGATACTCGTATGCATGCATGTTGGTAGCCAATCTGACGCATGCATACATCATAGAAGCACGCCACTACTGCCTGCTCCGCACGCTGGAAAAGCTAGATACTCCTACAATCCTGTGGATGCCCCTGGTTCTGACCAAACGCATAGGTACAAACTATCAGAAAAAACTAGTATTGTATGGTTATCTGTAGATGATTTGTCATCTAAGGCAACACGAGGCAAAGAGAGTGAATTTTTTTTACTTTCATACATGCATGTGTCTTAAAAAATAAGTACCTTTTTTTATCAAGGAAACAAGCTTTAACCTTCAGTTTGAAAGCTCGAGTAGTAACTATAGCAGTTCTAGCATTAAGTTTCTATCCTCGTATAAATGCACCAGCTATTTCTTGTCACATGGGATTAGAATGAAAAAGATGAATAGGTCCGGATCTGATTATTTATATCATTAAATGATACTTTGTGGCTCCCTGCCACCCAGCATGATTCAACTGCAATTAGCCAAGAATGTTTGTAGTTCCAAAATTAGTTCCGGCGCATCCTACAGGACAATTTATAGTGCACAAAGTACCAGTGGCGGAACCAGCAGCATTGTTTAAGGAGGGCTGGAGAAATACGATGACACCTCTAAGTATGATAAATACATACATGAGTGTATGTTTCACCAATTTTTTTTCAATGTTTTATATACGTAATTAGTATCGATAATGAAAAATCATGATATTATGATACAAAATGGGTAAAATGATGTCTTAACATGCTATAAATTACAATAATTATAGGGATATTAAAAACATTTCTACTGGATTGGGGGACCATGGCCCCTACTGCCCCCCCCCCCTCCCTAGTTCCGCCACTGCAAAGTACTGAAAAGCTAAAGAACAAATAAAATAGGACTATAGCCAAACGTTGGGGGGGGGTGTTGGCGTATTGAACAACTGCAAAAAGTCGAATAATAATCTTCCTTGCTTAGACCGGTCTTCTTATTAAAGATTGCGTGCTACAAATATTTTATAGTAATAAATGTTGTTGTCATGTGTTTTATCGGGTATCGGCTAGGGATGGATGCGGACGTAAGATTTCTAGATATCCGAAAGATCCGATATCCATATTCATTTAGTATAAATATGGATATCCGTATTCGTACTCGATCTAAATATGAATGGTAAATGGATGCATCCGTATTTGCTTTTGAAGATTTTTCTCTATCCGATTCCACGTTCGTATTCGACAAAATGTGACAAAGCCGGTACTATCTTATTAACGATATAAAAATCTTAAGTTTAATCAATTTTAATATGGCTAATCATATTAATTAGTATCTTATTTTGTTTATATACTTGTAGAATTTATTTTTATTCATTTGAATCCAGTAATTGATATATAATATTTATAATTGTCTTATATTTATATATTTAATTATTAGAATATTTATTAAATTATTTTATTTTATGTAGTTGTCTTTGTGCATGGTGTTATATAGCTATGTTTTAAATCCCTTTATCCATTATGGTTTTAGTATACTATTAAACTATCGATAAGTAATAGATACTTGTCATCCTCAAAATCAAGTAGATATCCGAATTTGAGATATTCGTTTTGCATTTGTATCTAACAATATACGTACTCGTATTTGTATTTGAATTTAAATTAAAGTATGGTAAACAGTGGTGTATGTACCCGTATCCGTACGGCTCTTATCCGAATCCATCCCTAGTATCGCCTCTCTTCTATTAATATATGCATTTCGTACAACAGTGTAGGAAAGGCAGGATGCAAGCCAATGGTCATATAACTATTGTTGAATAGATGATGTGTGCCTGCAAGCAAAGGCTGCTATTTAGAATAGGGAAGGCTAGTGTACCTTGCCTTGGAATGGCATGGTTGTTCGAGCTAACATCGCTACCATGCAACTACAAGGTAACTGCTACTTAATGGAAAACTGAGGGACCCAAATAGTTGATGGAAAACATTGCTGCGCCCATAAGATGGCAGCTAGAAAATCACATATATGTCCTAGCGAATCCATAAGTGTTGTTCAAATCAACTAATTCTTCATGTATGAAAAACAAGGGGTACATTGCTCATAACACTACTTTAAATGGAAACCATGGCCAAATAGTATATGGTATTTGTCTAGTGTGTCTGATTGTTCGGTTGGAGGTCAAACAATGCCTATTCTTATCTTGCTATCCATTTCATTTCCTCCTTATTAGTGGTATAAAGTAGAATTCCTTACTCATAAGAACTTCTTGATGTTGTTCAAATCAACTAATTCTTCATAAGAGGTCAGCCCATATGAGTGAATTGCTTGTTTTAGTTGCTTTATCATAGAGGATTCTTTTAACGATGTCCCCCTTAACTCATAACACTACTTTTGTTCACCAAACAATGGAAACCACCCTTGGAGACCTTTGACTGTTTCACAAAATTTTGGCCTAAATTTACATACTCCAAGGAACAAAAGTTGTTTTATGACCAACTCATGAAAATGTGTGGAACATGCTCAAACCTGGCCCACAAGTCATTTGTCTAGTGAGGGCTATTCCATCTTTGGTCTAGTTCCCTTTGGTCTAGTTGGTCCTTGAAAAGAAATTGTAGCTGGATGGTACCTCTACATTTTCATGAACACCATTTTTGCAAAGTATCATTGATTAGCCGTATTAAGGCGTTGAATTGCCATCGTCAGCGATTCAAGTCGGTTGGGCAATGGTGAGGTGGCATTGTAGGTCTTCAAGCATGGTTGGGCGCCTAAGGTCGTTGCGTTCGCCGCAACAGAAACGAGTTGCCCAAATCCGTCGATAGCCTCGCCGTGGTCTTCTCTACCTCTCCACCTCACCGCCGCCGGTCAATCGAGCCTCGTAAGGGTTGACCGCCATGGCCGCCCTCGCCGGAGTTGGCGCCCACGCGCCGGGTCCTCGCGCGCCTCCATCCCTCTCATCTCGCGCTAGGTTATAGGAGTCTTTGCCGCGAAGGCCCATGCACAAGGTTAGAGGTGCACTTGACCATATGCCGCGTGAGATCTTCCTTTGGTTAATGTCCTTGCAACTTTGTAAAATAGGAGCGCTGGTGTAGCAACCGGTCATGTACAACCAATTGCATATAAGGCACCTTTATCAAGATACCCTTCTAACAAGATTTATGTGTAGATTCAAAAATGTGTAACTGGGTTCAATAGTTTGCTTCTGGGAAATTGAACCGCCGAGCCAATCAAGGGTGAATAATATTTAAGATGCATGCAAACTTGTTTGAATTTTATCTTGATCAAGGTATGAAGCTATATTTAAGATGTAGTCTAAGTGGGTTGTTGTTGCTTATTCTATCGAGGTATAGGGTACATGCATGCACAAGGATATTTATTAATGGTGCACATGATTCTAATTATGCTAAAAATAGGCATGCCAAGGAGTTACGCATGGAAGCTCAACCGGTAGTCTTTGTGAAGATGCAAAAGGTATATCATTATACAAGTGGAGCTCCCAAAAAATCCCCAAAGAGTAATTGGCTCAAATTTTTATTTATGATATATTCTCAAGTTGTTAAACTTGGTTTGGTCAATATCATTAATGTATTAGTTTACCGTCATTGATAAAGTTCTAATTGTTTGAAATTGTTTCTAATACATGATATCAAAACTCATGCAAGTCATTTGGAACAATGGTATATGTTTTAATTATATGTGTTTCCTATTTCTAAGTGGGACAAGATGAGCATCTTTATCTTAGTTTTTAGGAGCCCATAATGATATAGGAACTAAATCGTTTGAATATATATATGTAGTACATAATGGCTTCAGTTTCTTACATAAGCCATTTGCACTTCTCTACTGCGAAGAAAAACCACTAGAGCTTTTCCAGATGATTTTTGGACAACTTTTTGAGCTTGTCTTAGGAGGAACTTTCAAATGTGCCATGAAGGACACTTATATATGGACAACACAAATCTAGCGAGTTATCCAAGCGGCACAAACAAGGAGGATGTCATAGTGCTTAGCATTAATCTATTTCACATCAGCTACCACCAGAT